CGAGGAGGAGCAGGACCTCTTCCCTTTGCTCAGCCACTCCAGCAGTGCTTTTCCCCAGGCTTTAGCTCCCTCTGTGGGACTCTGGGATGAACCCGCACCTGCTCAAAATAAAGCACAGTTAAAATCCAGGACTGACCCATCTTCCTGCAGCCAGGGCACACAGGTTTGCCCCGAGCCAGGACAACAGGCTTGCTGCAGCTCAAGCCGCAGGGACATCACCTTGCAGCAGCTCAAAACGGGCATGACGGACCTATTCCTAAAGTACAACCAGGTACCCGAACCTCAGCCGCCCTCATCCAAGTTAAAATTCTCCAGTCCGCGCCCGAGAGGAACCGAGTTCAGAGTCATCGTCACAGACGAGCGAGGCTGCGGGGAGAACCGCACCACCCCTGCGCTCGCACTGGGGGGGTCTGCCAGGAGCGGCCAAGCCATTTCCACAGCCCCCTCCCCTACTACCCCGTCACTGCCTGTATTTAGGCTGCAGCCAGCTTCAGTATTAGGAACTACAGGCACTTCTAAGGGGTTCTGTTGCCTGTTTTTCTTTCTCTGTCCTTGCCTACATGAAGAGGACCAGAGAATTTCCACTTGTATCAGCATATGTGCTATTGCCAAAAGCTGGCTTTTACAAACCAGCGTGCTTCCCGGAACCCCGGGGAACTGGAAACGTAATTCTGTTGAGTTGCACACTCCTCAGAGCTCTGTTATGGAAAAAGGCCAACGGAGAACAAGGAGTCTGTTTTGATCAGGGTTTGGCTTTGGTTTTTTTAATTAGGTGGTGGGTTTTTGTGTTTGTGGTGTTTTGTTTTCCCTGAAGCCAAGTTGGTGACAATTTTACTTCCTCTCTATAGGGCTGGCTCCAAAAAACTCAACACAACACAATTCTAAGTCTCATAAAATTTAAGATTTACCATCCTGCCTTTCTGCAAGAAGTTTTTAGCATAGCTCCTCTTTCCAAGCCACGTGGGATTAACATAAGGTCGAGCTACCAAGGCTGCTACTTAGCTTTTAGAAGTTTAAAAAAAGCCTTTTGAAAGGAGGCAAAAATCTCTTGAAGTCATTTATGCCAGAGATAAGATGCTTGCATCTACCCTTCAGAGACTCTAGGATACTAAAGAGCTGAGCCCCTCCACAGCCCCATGAAAGGGGCTAACGAGCTCTTGAGGATGCCACCTCCCCACGTTTACACAGCCTGGGTACAAAGCAGCTTACATATTAATATAATAATAAAGTTAATGCCAAGTCTGCATTTCAGGAAATGGCAGGACTCACCTCTGCCTATGTTCCCACGACATCACTGTATCACTTAGTGTCCTGCACGCTGTTAACATGACTAAAATTAAACTAATAAGACCAGCTTTTGACCAGGCGGGTGCCTGGAGCAGTGGGAGCCTGACAGCTGCCCTCTCTCCCAGGCAATTCACGAGGCTCCTGTTCTTTTTGCAAAAACTCGTTATACAAACTAAAAAGAATTGTCAATTAATTTAAAAAACCATCCTTTGTTTTGGGGAGGGGGGGTGCTTTGTGGTCTGGGAGGACAAGAAACAGAGGTACATGAGAGGTGCACGCAGTGACCTACCCTACCCAGCCCCCAGCTGGCTTTGCGGGGTGCTGAGCCCCTGCTGTGCCCCGTGACCCTGGCAGACTCGCTGCCTCTCGGACTCAGCCCTTCCTACCGAGCGTGACCGGTGGGGCAAGCACAGCTGCAGAACTACATGGGGTTTCATCCTGTGAGGAGCCCGCGGTTCCCAGCACATCACACGTTACGTTTCCCTAAGCTGTCGGGACAGCTGCTCTACGTTTTTACCTCCTTCGGCTGCACTCGGTCACTGACGAGAGCGCTGTTAGCATCCGCCTCACAGGAGAAGGCCACGCAGCACCCCAACCCCACGTGCTCCTAAAGGGATCAAGTCCTGACACCCCTGCATGTTCCGCAACTATCGCTCACGAGGTCAAGCGCAAGGAAACAAGATGCTTACACAACCGGACCAATGCAAGGGCATCGGCGTCCCAGCTTGTATCTGAAATGATGAAGAGTTGTTGTGAAGTTTTACTCCTACGGATTTTCTGTGTAAGCTGGGATGAATCACTTATCCTCTGTTTCCTTTTTATGATGATCAGCAGCAGGGATTGCATTACCTTCTGAGGAATACTCGGGACACTAAATACATCTGAACCGTGCAGTTCTGAAGAAAAGCATGTGTTCACAGCATTTTACATCAGAAGGAGCCACTAATTCCTCTTCTTCAGTTTTCACTGGTATCCTGTCCTCGTGGGCCAGACAGCACCGCAGTCTGTTTCCTCATTTTACACCCTTAGTAACAGACACTACCCCAGCTCACAGGGAAGGTGAGTGGTTTCACCCCGAAGGAGCACGATGGGGAGCTGCTGTAGAGTCAGACAGGGAACCCCCACAGCGGCAGCACAAACCTACCTCTCTGTCCGCTGCTTACGGACAGCCGTTCCCCACCCCTCGCATCATGCAGCTGTGCACGGGCAGGGCAGGAAGGAAGGCTCACACTAGATCTTTACCAAGAAAGAAGAAATCAACACCGAGATGTAGGCAGCCCAGGCTCAGGTGCTGGAAAGCAGGGGTTTCGTCCGCTCAGGGCCTGGCACATCCTTGTCTTTGTCGGGTTCCGGGCGCTGCCAGTAGCCGTCTGATCTTCGGAAAGGCCAGTCCAACTCATCATAGCGGCAACAGCAAATAGAGGAAAACAGCCGAGTCCGGACCGCCCGCGTACAGAGGACAAACATAATACAGTTGGCACCTCCTTGGAACGTGTTACCAATTCCCTGCAAGGGCAAGAAGGGAGTTAACAGCGCTGTTCCTACAGGCACCCCCCAGAGAAGAGCAAACAGCGTGTCAGACCAGCTACAGTCCTGCCCAACTGCCGCTCAGCAACTTCCACCTAAATGAGAAAAAAACCAACCAACCAACCAAAAAGATTCAGAAAAAGCAACCTTGCGGCCCAAAGCAGAGCAGACGGCTGCTGTGGGTACCGCTCCCACAGCCCGGGCCAGGCGAGGGGCAGAGGGACAGACACCCAACATTGCTGGTCCCCG